TTACCCATGCCAAGCTGTTATATCAGAAGATCATCTCAGAAATATCTGGAACTTCTTATAATCTAAAGTCTTTAGCTAGACAACATTACCGTCTCACTTGTGGCCATTTCAAAAACAGAATAAATTGAAAATTAAATAATGGGATCAGAACCCATGACATAAGGGGTTTTAGGCCAAAACAAATTAATTTAAATCTTAAAAACAAACAAGGGTCTTACTATTTCAGAAGAGTGCTGCCACCACACTGCAGAGCAGAGCTATCGGACGCTGTCACGTCACTGCCACTTCCATGTACAATGTCACATCTCCTGTACGTAAGAGATACATTGCATAATGTTACAGATGGCACAGCTCATAACAGACGGGATTACATTTATTAAAATCAGATGAAATGCTTTTTGCTAGATTCAATGATTTTCCATGCAAGGTGACCTGAGTTTCTTTTTTCTGAGCACTACCATGATAAGATTTTCCTGCTGTAGAGAACAGCTACAGGTAGAGGTTAACTGTTAGTATGCATTGATGCCCATCATTATAGACAACTGCTGTAAATCTACATTCATAAACATTTGAGTTTACAAAAAAACTGGATCCTCAGTGTCGCTATTTTATTCACTTTCATTGTAATTATTCCTGCAACTATTTTGATTTGTGAATGCTGCTACCTTCACAAATCGTTATTCATATAGGAATTGTTGTATATGTCAGGGGTGCTCTTTGCTTTTGCACTGTCTCCAGTTAAAATGGTTGCAGACAAGGCAAATGAATCAAAAAAACCCCTGTAACAACACCCCCTTCTCCCACTAGCCTGGACCTTCACCCCTACATGCAGAAAGAAAACTACATGTTTCACTAGCAAACTATAACCCTAAATGCATTTATGCAATAACTGAACTGTTACTGAAAACAAAGACATTTCTGAGAACAGACCCTCTCAGTTTGTACCTGTTGAGGACTGTGTTTGGTGGTTGGGCTGCACCCAGGGGCTGCCACCCTGCCAGGGCATACAGATACACACAGACCTATGGGTATGTTTAGAGGCCCATATTCCTGAGTGTAATATCTCACACATGTATGATGCCTAGATTTTTAAAATAACAGATTAACCACAGCAGAGTGTTGTTTCTTGGGCACACACTGATACAGCTGCATGTTTATAGCTGGCCAGCAGTGAAGGTGTAGGACAGAGCGGTGGAAACAGCCCCCAAGGCCATAACGATGCTGTCCTCACACAGTGCTGGGTACTTTCCCCCACAGACTCTGAACTGAACACCCTCACAGCCTCCATGAGGTGCAGCATGTGCCAGTGACCTCCTACCAGTCACTTCTGGGTGCTCCTGAGGAGGCAACAGGCCTGGGAAGGGGTGCAGGCTCCAGCCCAGCCTCCCCACTGCCCAGCCTGCATATTTTATATTTATTTCTCTCCCCTTTCCTTTGTGGTGGCAGTTGTAAATCTACCTTTCTCAAAATTCAATAAAAAATTAATTGAAAAGCAAAAAAAAAAAAAAAAAAAAAACAAACCAAAGAGAAGTCATTTCAATCCCAACAATAAAAGGCCAATTGACTTCTCAATTTCCAAGTGGGCAGGGGAAGAAATCAGGCATACGCAGGGAGAAACTCAATTCTCCAAAGCTCTCCGCCTTTCAGGAGTTCCAGCCCCGCCGTCTCAAGGGTGCTGTGTCCCCTACTGCTCGCTCAATTCCAGCCGGGTATTATTTTCTCAGCTCTGAGGGAAGCAGGAATTCATTCTGCATTATTGATGACCCTCGCTCAGCCGCTGGTTCAGCGCTGCCCGCTGGCTGTCACTCATCCGCACCGAGAGCTCCCGTTATGCCGGGGTAGGTGGCTCCCTGCCTCTCTCCCCAAACATCTCCCTCGCAAGCACAACCAAAGAAAACCAGCTGGAACAAAAACGGGGGGCCATGGTACGAAGACAAACCTTGGACCCGTGAACTCGCACCTTAAGGCAGCAGAACGACAGGAATGGCTGTGAAGGAGGGGGCCTTGGAAAGGCTGGGGTTCAGCATCACAGGGTGATCAACCTGTATTTCAACTGATCCCTCTTGCTAGCAAGTTAAACACAGTCTTGAGCCCCAGATCGCAACAGGAGCTGAATTTTTCTGAATTCTTCTCAAAGGATGTATCTGATCAGAGAAACAGCAAACCCTGACTGAGCACCTGTCAGGGCAGGGGTAGGAGGGCATATGATCCTCACAGAGCCAGATTTGTCCTTTCCTCTTTCTACTCTTTACCTCTTACCCTTCTTTTTCCTTCGTTGTTTTGGGGGTTTTACTTTCCTTCTTCTCTAGCCTAAACAATTACATAACTTTCTTTGGGAAATCCTGGCACTGACCAAGTGCAGATCCCCATACACTTACAGATATGGAGGTTGTGCAGTAGCAATGAAGCCTCAGTGATTAGAATGTTGGATGCCTGAGGTACATTTAATTAATGAAAAGGCACTCCAGATCTGGTAATTGCCAACTAGAATTGGCATCTATAGCCACCGACAGCGCAAAATACATGTACAGTTTTGCAGAAATCAGTTCTGTCTGTCAATGTAGAGCTGAGTTGCAAGTTGTAGAGTATTTCAAGTCCAGTCCCAAAGATTTCACAGATGGCTCTTAATCCACTAATTCCTCCAGGCTGACTAGGACATGCCTACTTGCTGTATCAGTGCTTTGATCCTGGGATGTAACTGTTTACAAAGAACTATGCCACTTTCTTTGGTTCTAAGAAGAGCAAAACTTGTAGCTGTCAGACACCTCACAGAACAGGTTCACAACTGAAAAGCAATTGTAATAATATGCCTGGTTTATTCTAAATTAATTGAGAGAAACCTCAGGTTGATTTTATGATACAGGTCTAGCGGGGTAAGTGTTTTCTTTCATGTGTTTTTATGTAGTTCTAGGAAATTTTTGTAGGAAAAGCTTTCAAAAAACTAGAGATGAGGTATTCAGGCAAGGTGTTGGATCTGAAGTTTCAAAGTACCAAAGAAAGGAGTAAAAAATTTGTATTCAGGTTCATACTTTTCTCCTTCCTAGAGCTAGAAAGCTTGAATTAGCAGCTCCCCTCCATTTAAAATAGTGTAAGAAAAACCTTTTAAGAATTCTATAATCGTCTTTATTTCTGTGAGCGTATAGGTATCAGCTAAAAATATCTCGGTATTATTTACAATCATGAATGGATAATGGGAACAACAGTAGAAACTCTTCTACTTACCCCATTTGTGGATGTTCTACATAACTGATTTCCAAATATTTGGCAATGACTATTCACTAAGGCTTGTATATTTTTGCTTCCCCACCCCCAATACATTCTTCACGTCGTCTGTGCAATACCTGAACAGCCTGTGACTAACCTTTGAACACCTCTGTTCAAACTCCTTACATTATCAGTTTTTACTTTGCCCCTCAACCCAAAACAGGGAGAGGCAGGAGCTGTTTGAACTGAAAGACAGCAATTTAAGGAAACTTCACAATGAAATTCTATCTTACTCCAACAGTTTCAATGATTGTGAAAAAAGCACCTAAAAAAAAAAAGTTCAGCAATTTCACACAGTGGAAAACAGCCCAGGGCACAAGAAAACTAAAACCAAACAGTTTGCCGTCAGTGCTGTAGACTGTGTTCAGTAAAAACAAAAGATCAAACAAGTTCTGTAATCATTATATAAAGCACATTTGCTATGGCATGTGAAGAAAACATACTTCCTTCCTAATACTAATTAACATTAGAGAGTTGTGGGCTGAAATGTGGGATAAAAATAGCTGTTTAAACTAATCACTCAGCAAGATTTAAATGTTACATATAAAGTATACCTAACGGGTTGGAATATTTATCCCAGAAGTAAAGAAAGCTTTCACTACTCATGAATTATAGAAGTTTCTCTTCCTGCCTCACTGAAACAATGTATGGACTCCTTGCAAGTATGTGAGGGTTCTTCATAGCATGTCTACAGTTTTCCTTATTTTTATGTATTAAAAAATTTCAGTCGGCTCTGCATAACAGAGAATTAAATCCTCAGATTTACCTTTGCTTCTCTGAAATTATTTCTCCTTTCACATGTGCTCCATCCTTCCACAAATAAATCCTGGAAAGTGCTATCCTTCTTGTCACCCCCAGCTATTCCTTTGCCTTTCCCTTTCCTATGTTTCCCCGCTGTTCAGTGGTTCCTCGTGGGTTGAAGCCAACACTGAATGGAAGGTGTTGAATGACTGGCATGATACAGAGCAGACCACCAAAGTCACCAAACTATTCCTAAGCATAAACTATATTAAAAAGTTCAGGAAGCCAAATGTTATTGAAATAATATTTCAATAGTTTCCTAGCAACAACATTTCAGATGTTTCCTGGTAATTTCCAGTAGTGGGAATTCCAGGTAGGATAACAACTGGAGAAAATGTGTTGAAATGTGCAGTGCTTAAGCGTTGCACAGTTGAAAAATCAACACAATCCTGTCTGTTCAGAGAGGTACCATATATCCATCCTCCAGGATTTTTAAGCACCTGTCAAGCTCTATGTCTAATACAGATACCAATGAAATATATACTTGAGTAACAACAGTGTTCTGCAGGACTCAGCTGAAATTTATCAGTGGACCACATGAAGATGTGAGATCACTGCCCCCCTCATCCCACATTTAGCTGCTTTGGGCTGGATTCAGGGGTGCTGATTTATCCAGTAGAAAACTCATCACAGCAAGATACACTCAACACTGGTTACACCCAGGCTCTGTGAAGACAAGACTGTCCACTGGGGACTAGGTTAATGAAAATGAAAATGGTGGGGTTTTCCTTCCTCAGCCAGGGGCAATAAAACACCCCTTTGAGCAATTCCTGTAAGCCTAGTCAGACCCCAAACTCAAGCTACCTGGCACATCAGTCTCCTGCTCTAAGTGTCACAGGAGTACTATTTTAGTCTGTAACAACTAAATAAACAAAAAGATTCCATAGGATATAGAGTATGACCCAGGACATCATGTTCTCTATATCCTCTTCCAGGACTCTGTCAGCAGATATTTTAGACCAAGGGAGCAGATGAGCAGGAGCTCTGATGGCAAATCTTCAGAAGCAGAGACTTAACCTTATAGAATGGGAAAACTCTTCAAAAGCACTGTTTGAAGATTACTGTAAACTGAAAAGGTAATTCAAACAATGTGGTCATGTAGACTGCATCACAAGGCTCCAAGGCCAGTCAGTCTACCCCCACCACCACTTTCCCACCACCCCACCCTGCAAAGCAAAACCAAAATCACTGAAATTTAAAAAGTAGTGAGTCGTAAAAAATTCAAAACCTCCCATAAGACAAATTTATTGCACTGAAAATTAAACTATTTGGGGCAACACAAACACCACTTCAGCTCCATCTTAAAACATGATTCATACCACTAAGTGCTTTGTTTTCCTCTTGTAGCATGTAATGTTTGGACTTCTTGAAAGGGTCATATTGAATTAACGGGTTCACCTTGAAACCACACAGTGGAACAAAAAGCTGTGTGCCAAACGGCACCCCAGAGGGGACCAGCCTGCAAGAATGCAATTCTCCCATGCTCAGCAAGACGAAGAACAAGTGTTGTGACAACCTTTAAATGCTCAGATCCAAACCACAGATCTTCTCCCAAGTTCCTTTCAGCTTGCAGCAGAGCATCCAAAATGTGCAGGCTGCATTATGAGCAGCAGGAAGGAGAGCCCGCAGGGAAGCACTGGGGGAGCTGCATATCTAACCACAGACATACTGCAAGGATCAGCTATCAGACACTGGTTATATGGCTGTCACAGCTCATTGGATTTCTTTGTCCTTATACACCATAAGCATTTAAAAGACAGCCCTGTGTTCCCGTGTCTAAAAGTATTTGGTAAAGCTCCTGTATCTTCTAAGGGGAAGGAAGCAAGAAACAAACTCAAAAGCCTAATTTAAAATAACCTTAAATAGTTTTCTTCAGAGGAGTTGAGAACAGATTGTGGAGAGAGTGACAGTGGTGCTAACATCTTATAAGGATTTAGTTTACACATGTGACCTATTTGGTGCATTGCCTCAGTCATGTAGTGCAAAGGGAGCTGGAAGTGGAACAACAGATAAAAGATACGGCTTACACTGCTGAAAAATGTGAGCCATTTCAGCCTCTCTTGTACAGCCATGAATGGCTCATTTGCAGAGGGAAGATTCTTCCAGCAAAAGGAACCTAATCCAGAAAGTTCCTCTGAGGGGAATTTTTTCCAAACTATAATGCAGAGCATCACTCATGCAGAGTCCCTCAACAAACATTTTGTAAAACCACTTGGCTCTCTTCTAGGGATTGAGATTAATTTAGTGAGCCTCAACACTGATTTCTGAGACCAAAGCTGGTCAGGTCCTCAGCAGCTTCACACTTCACAGCAGGAGTACCCAAGATTTCAGAGAATTTGCTGTATTTCACAGAATAAAGAATAAATTAGAAGCAGAAATCCAATAAAGAAGGAGGCTGACTCAAAGGGGGCCTGACGGTCTATTCTGTGATGCAAGCAGATATACAGGATGGTTATTTCTGGGTTTTGTGTGTGTGTACTTGTGTAAAACATGTGGGTGCTTTAACAAGCATCTTCTTTACCCAAGATTGATCGTGTTGAGGATAAATGTCATGGAAACTTCAAAAGTCCCATCATGGTCTAGGATTAAAAGAACAAGTATTGCAATAAGATTTTCATGAACAGCGTCTGCTTCTAATGTCATCTCTCCCCGTGCTCCAGCACTGCACTCCCAATGTTCTCTTCGGATCAGCTGAGACAACACTGCAGCACCTCCCTGCAGGAGAGGTGCAATGCCCTGCCTTGAGAGCCCTGAACTCCCTAGGGAGCTTTTCCAGAGCTGTCCGCTCTGAGCAGAGCAAACCATTGACACAGTGTGAAACAGCAAACAAGTTCTCGTTGGGAATCCACGAGGGGAGGCCTCAGGTGCTGCCTTTGCTTCAGAACCAAAAAATAAAGGGGGTGGTATTATTTGCTTTATGTCAGTAGCTAACCCGTCCACTGTGCAAGGAGCAGTACAAACATGTAGAGCAGAGCTCTTGCCCCTAGGAGTTTATGGTCCAAGAAAAAGTGCACGGGACAGCAGTGTGGCCCAGGAAAACCAGGACAGAGAAGCAAATGCAGGCAAAGCTGGTCAGCCCACCTGGCACTGCTCACAGGGCACACCCACAGCCTGACCACTGACAGAGTTATGAGAGAGAGAGAGCAATTTTCAATGCAGAAAGATGGGAAGGTTTAAAGGAAGAGAAGACAGATTTGTAGCTTTTGAGGGAAATCCTTCTTAGTCCAGCTAGTCCTCACTCCACAACTATTTCTTCCTTTCTGTCCTTCCACCTTATTTTGCCCTTAATCTCACTGTGCATTTTTCCTCCCGGCTCAAAGAGCAAACCCACAAGGGAGCCAGATGTGCTGAACGTATGGCTATAAAGGGGCAATCTGCATAACAACAAGAACCATGTGAAATAATCTCATTTTTCCCATCTTGCTTCTATTTTTTTCCCAGTGGAAAGAAATAAAATATAGACCTAGTTCATGGCTTGTTCTTTTCAAAGCAGTTCCATTTTCTTTCATTCCTTCCTCCACCTTTCAGGGTTTGGATATAATATATGGCTATACAAATACTTCCCATCCACATACATGCATGCATTACTGTTCTGCAGCTATATTGCAAAGATCCCTTCTCTCCAAATGATATCATCAGAAGTGAAAGACAACTGCCCCCCATGGTCAAGTAAATAATTTATTGTTCAAATTGTAATTAAACTATATAAATGGAGTCCCATTTGTTCCCCTGTGAACACAGTGTAAGCCCAAAGAACTCAGTAGTAGCAGTTTTGAGGAGAGAGAATCATGAATTGAGAAAAAAAGAAAATTTTAGTCTTTTAAATGTAAAGAAAGATAATTCACTCTAGATTTGTGTTGTTAGAAGCCCACAGAAGGTGCTGAATACAGAAATAAGGCTCTCAGTCAGGATATTTGGATAAAAAAAAATATGTACCTAAACACATATCTTAACCTAGACCGCATAGTCCTCTAATGAACTGGTATTTTCTCTCAGTATGTAACAAATATGGTTCACCAGCTTCCTACAGTCAAAGACCCAAAACTGGAAGCAAAGGGAATCTCCACAGAGAAGAGTTTCAGACATGTTCCCTGCCATGGTGACAGTGAGGAAAGTGGCTCAAGAAGCAGAGCAAATATTAAAGCTTAAGTTCAGGTGCTCTGAGTGGTCTCTGGAAAACCTTCTCTCTTTGCCAGTTAGGGAGGCTGGATTTTGCAAGTACCTTGCGACCATCACTGTGGACTGTGAGGCACCGAGCACCTATAAAAATCTGGCCTCAGCTGTGGGTGCTGAAGACCTACAAGTGCAGCCAAAGAAAATATGGTCTGCTGGATCTGACCCAAAGCCAGTTGAATCAAGCTTTGGACTGGTTTTAAGAATTTTTGTTATAAGATGTAAGAAAACTGGACCTTCCCCTCTTGCTATGCACCGTGCAAACATACCCTGAGAGAGAGCCAGCACTGCAAGGAGCCAGCGGGCTGAGGAGGGATGGAGAGGGAGCTGTGGTCACAGTATACTGGTTGCAGGGCCATGAACAGGAGACACTATTTATTTTAAAAGCAATTAAATATTAGACTTTAGTACCTCTGATAATTTTGCTGTTACCAATGTGTTGTTCTACATCCAACCTACTTTATTCTGTTCATTGTTCAGAACAGACCACCATCGAAGTTGTCATTTTAAAATATTCTCCACTGTGATTAAATAGCTGCTGCAGTCAAGTAGTTCTATCTTCTATCAAAGTTTGTAAATCACAGTATTTTAAAAAGATGCAAAAAGCAAATAATCTGGTATATAATAGTTATTTGATTTCTTACATATGTGTAGAAAAAATAAGCACATTAGATCTCTAGCCTTTAATTAAAAAATAGTTGGGGGAAGGCAGTAACGTCTTAATAAGTAACATCTGACCAAAAAGTATTTAGTAAATCATACCCTAAGTGTGGCCAAAAACTGTGAGATTTACTGCAAGTAAATCATTATTGCTATCTGAGTCTGAATAGCTTCCATCTGATTTCTGTATGGAAATATACTCCATGGAAGCACAGCCTTGAACTTCAAAGGATGTGCAGGATGCTACTAATTTCTGTATCTGACAGTGTGATGCAATGTTTGGATTTGCATCTCTGCACTTCAAAGTGTGGCACTCTCTAGATAAGGTCTCCGTTTATTTTGACATGGATTCGCAGAGGTGAACAAGAAAGCAGCACCCAACACAGGCAGGACTCCCCCCGCTCCAGCCCCGGAAAAAAAAAACAGGGGAAAAAAACCTCCACACGACAAAAAAACCCCTGCTCCGTTTGCTTCTCTCTGAATTCAGTAATGCCCTGGAGACCGAGGATTACAGAGGAAGAGTACAAGTCATGGTTGTGGTACTTCAAGTAATCTCCAGTGTCCAAAACACAGTGTCAACATATGGTACTCAAATGCAGATTTGGAACGTCTTTGAAGTAATATTGAATCTGACTAATGGGTAAAATGCAGACCTAGCTGCCTTTCCTTCTTTATTTCATACTGAGGTTGTCAAAATTTCAAGTAGGGCATCTAGATGCCACTGCACCTTTATTCTGTGAATTACACAGAATTTCATCCAAAAAAATATCACCAATGAATTCTGATAGTCCTCTTTACTTTTTGCCAACCAAGACAAGCTGGGATCCCATGGGATAATGACATAAAATCTTTTGCCCTAAAGACCCTATAATGACACTTAAAAATTCACCTCGTGTATGTGTACAATGCCTCTCACATTGTAGACGTAAAGAAAACTCTGAGTGCTGGGATATGATCACAACTGCAATACAAATCTTACTCATTCCTTCAAAATACATAAACAAATCTCCTGCAACTATAACTCCTAGACCTGTTCTCACTTCCCTTGTTTAAAAAATCAAAGTATTTTTCAATACCAACAGCTGCTGACCAGTAGCATATATACAACTGTTAGGATTATTTATTTAGAATTAATTAAACTCTAGTAATATTCAGCAAAAACATTCAGGAGGAAAAAAGAAATCCTACAAATCTGACTGAACAGGGGTGTTGGGGGCTAAAGTGCAAAAAACCTGAAAATCCAGAAG